GCGCACACAATATGATGTAAGAAATTTATAAATTAGATAGTTGTAATAGTTTTGATTTTTATTTTCAGTTTTATTTTTAGTAACAAGGATTTTATCAAAAATAAATTAAACTATCTCTAGAATTAGATAGTTTTGATAGTTCTACTTTCTCTTTATCACTACAATTTTAAATTTCAACAATATATGTCTAGGGGATTAAAATGTGAGAAAAGAGTTTTTAGAACTACAAATTTTGGGCTATTTTTTCTCTGCTATTTTTGATAGTATATAAATTATTTTTTGCTATAGTTTTTTTGAGTTTTTTTGAGTTTTCTAAGTGAACGTGTAAACAAATATATATATATAAAATTTAATCGTCTTACAGCATAAATCAAAACTTAATAGATCACCTCTCAACTTAAAAATAACATTATTTTCAATGACACAGAAAAATCAGAACGAAATATGAGACAATATAATTTTCAAGTGAACCATACATATATGAAAAGTTAAGTACTAAAAATGTTGGCATAAATGATAAAGCTCAGAAAAACATCATCTCAACCTCATTTTCAATATATATGCACTTTTTCGACAAAAAATAAAGAAATTTAGAAACAAATACTGTAAATTTCTAAGAAAAATAGAACTTAAAAAAAAATAGAATGAAATAATGGGTTGCTTCTGATGTGGTGCTAAATTTAATGTCTTAAGCTAGATAGCTCTTAAATCATATAAGATGATTATGACCATCAAAATATATTTGTATCCCAAGTTAAGTTTCATGGTATTCTTATTTAGATTTAGCATAAATTCATGTGCTTCATATATATACCTTGATATACTTTCAGCTAAAACAAAATAAAAATTAATATTTTTTTTGAAAGTAATATTTCTATTTTGAAAAGAATCTTTCCTCATTTTTATCTTATTCTATAAGGCTCTCATTCATTAGTAGATACTTTCTATTAATAGACCATAAAATGTGATTAAGTAATATAATTTTCAAACTAACTCTTACCCAATCTAAACTTTTGTCATCTAAATTGATATCTCTAATTATTCAACGCACCTATTTCTTAATATATTATTTTATCTGCATAATCTACATATTTTTTTAAGTTGTAAAGAGTGAAATATTTCATGCTTAGACATAGTTCTAATGGGTTGTGGGTTTTGAAGGATGGAAGAATTATTTACTTTAATATCAGATCTAATGAATTCATTAAAATTTAAATTTTTTCTCCAAAATTCTCTTTATTAAATATTCATTATTTTCGTTTCTCTCCATTAATTGAATCAACTCTTTTTCAAAGTTTTTTTTCAACTCATCAAATTCCTCATCTTCTCAAGAGCTATCTTCTAATTTCAATATGTGATATGCATCATCATCATCAATATTAACCTCCAATACTGTAACATACTAACTAGATTTATTAATTTGATCTCTTAAATATTTTAGATGAACTGATTTTTCTTCATTTCTATCCTTATACCTTTCTACTAAAATTTAGATGATTTTTCTACGATCAATTGTTATTTCTTCATCTAAGGGTTCTTTCTCCTCATCATTCTACATTCATTCATCATTCTCACTTAATGTATTCACTGTCCTAACATATTCATTTGGTGAATTTTTTCTTAAATTTGTTCAACTAAATTCTCCTTGTTCAAATCCTACTATTGGACAGTTTTTTGAATTTTCTATAGGTTGACTAGGTTGTTGTCTCTCTTATCTCTTATTCCTAAGAGCTCTTTAAATTATTTTTACTGCAACATCATTTGATTCATAGTTTTTTACATGATTTGGCTCATTTGTTGTATCATTTCTATAGCATAATGTTGGGTTTGAGAAGACTGATTTTTTTGAAATTTATTTTCCTATTTTATATGAAATTCAAAATTTGAATTGGGTCTAAGTGCTTCTGGATTTTGAATAATATTTGGGCCTCTCTATAAAAAATTATTCCTCTAATTAGGATTATAAGAATTAAATTTTTTTTTTCTTATTTTTAATAAAATTGTGAGGTACTTACACTTATTCTTATCTAAGTTGAAGTGATTGATCTAAATTATAATATTGAAATCCAGAATAATCATTTTCATCATACATAGGTCAAATACTATATGAATTAAATTGAGAGTTAGGAGGCTTTCTAATATTTTTAATAAATAAATTATCTTTTTAATCTTTGATTCATTTGATTAACCTTATTTTTTAAATTAGAATCATTTTTATGATGTAATTTATATATTTTTTTTCATCCCTATCATATACTTAAATTCTCATAAAGGTTGTAAATCTCATCAAGAATTTTCTTCATAAAAGTTCCTCCACATATAGAATCAATCATATTTCTATATTGTTCTAATAATTCATTGTAAAAAAGTTTAATTTTAAGTAGATCTAATTTAAAGTAGAAAATTTAAAGATCTAATTTTTCAGTCAATTATCTGGAAGTATCCTATGTTCTACCCTGATCCATTTACCTTGTATAGAACCTCACTAGTTCATACCTAGACAAAATCACTTCTTCCTTCCTGAGCATCTCCACCTTTCCTACCTGTCACCATGCACTTCCTTTCCCTGCTAGAGTCCCCAAGCCAACTAGATAAAACTTTCATTTTCGGAATATTGTCTCCTCTGAAAGTTGTTCATCACTAAAGAATGTTCAACACATGTGGCTGAAAATGTTAGATAGCCGTATGCCCATTAACTCAGTGCTTACTGCTTTTCAAATATATAAAGAATAAAATTAGTATTGAGTTGAGAATTCCCCATAATGATTGAATCATTGGGTTGGACAAGAGATTTGTTTGCAGCCTTTTCAGGCGAAATTCCATTTTCAACATTAAACATGGGCATCTCATGTGAACACTTCAACTCTGAGGTATAGGAAACTAGGAGTAAAGACCAGATTGACAAGGATAGGTGCTTGGTTAATGGGAACTGTAGAGATTCGAGTACTGGGAATGGATTCTTGTCATTTAATCAAGCACTTAGTACTAGCCTTAGCAGGTTTGTTTTTTTCAGTGAAAATTTCCCATTTCAAAGAAATTTCTTCAATATAATAGTGACACCCGAAACGGCAGAGGGAGAGAAGGTGAAAGAGGGTGCGGACATGGAAAGAGAGGAATTGTCACTGGAGTCTCTACACCCTCTTTCCGCTGTCTCTGCCCTCCAGTAATATAGTAGTAACAACAATGAGAACCATATATGTCGAGTGAACGATTATAAACCAAGTCTAAGTCTCGCCATTTCCACGTTCGTGTCTGTGAAGACGAAAAGAAGTCGTAATGGCAGCTCTTCAACGACATATCTTTATTATATGCTCCAAAAGGCGAAGTAAAAGTAATTCTTTTTGCTCAGTCTTGAACCGTGAGGTTTCCTTTTCTATTACGCGGACTTCTGTGAGCTTGGGTATGTTTAGTTACGCATCTTTACGCAGTTTGACGGGCAATGGACACGTGAAGCCCTTTCTCTGGGGTGCCGAACTCTTACACGTATAAAGTTAAGATATTATTCACATGGTTGCGAAATATCATGGATTGGTCGATGGGCCTCGACCACATGTAGCGTCTGGCCAAGGAATGAGATGGAATGAATTAGTTCTCTCCCTCTCTCTCTCTCTCTCTCTCTCATGCCACGGCTGTCACCAACCGAAGGAACCCACCACTCACCGCATCAACTAGAAAGACAGAGCAAGTGACGTCTACTTCAGAAAGACAGCTAGCCTCAAGACCAGTGCATCTCCCGTCATATGATTGGATGTGTTCACCAGCTAACACGTGAATGAACTTAGAATATCATCAGATTTGAGGATGATGTTGTCTAAACTAAGTAAGAAAATCAATGCTCGGGGTATGACTCGATCAAGGATTAATGCGGGGGGGGGGGGAGGCGTTGAATCCTCACTAAAGTGAGATCCGGGTTGCATTAGTTGCGCAAATGCTCGTCATACTTCGCGCTGAAAGAAGAGAAGGATCTGGGTTAGCAATGATCTCCTCCTAAAGAGCCCCGCGTGACATGCGCACCAACGAGCCCGGTCATTGTCCCACCCAGAGCCTTCCCAGTCTCTGACAAGGGCCTAAGAAAGCTGACGAACGAAACGAAGAGCTTGGTAAGGATGGGAGCAGCAAATCGCTGAGGTAGCTATGAAAGCACGTCATCTTCCCGCGCCTTTCTTTGGCTTCTGGCACAACTCTCCCTCCTCCCCCCACGTGGGAATGATACGCGTACCTTATCCCTCCCTGAGCTTGGTCAAGTTGGCTCCTCTACTTTCTACCCATGTTTGAACTACTTGGCCATTTAACGACGAACAAGGTGGTAGAAAAGGAGGATAGCAAGATTTCCAGGGGGGACGTTCCGCTTCCTGCAGGCTTTTATCCGTTGATTATTTTAGCATCTCTTTCTCTACGTGATGTTTAAATGGGTTCGTCTAACAGAAATACCTCGCACATGCTGTCTCTTTCATTTTCTCTTCCTGTCGTTCCCTCGACAAATGTCTCCTTCGCTCTCTCTCCCTCCCTTCCCCCGCTCTTGTCCGCCTCTATTTTAGCTCCAAAAACCTACTTAAAACCGAAGAAGTTGGGCAATCTGCTTCTCTCCTCCGGCTCCCTCCCTCCCTCTGTCTCTCTCTCTTTCGCGCACGGGCTCCAGCTTCTCCCACTCTGTAGCACCCTGAACGGCCCTTAGCACAAGCAACTCACACAATCTCTCTCTCTCCCTCTCTCTCTCTCTCTATTACTCATTGTCTCTTATTTCTCCATTCCATAACAGCTTGTTTTCCCTTTTGTTTCTCTTTCTCCTCTCTCTACTCCATTTTCTAATAGCCTGAAGCCACTTACAAACCACTTACAAATTCATCTCTCTATTTATAACATATGTGTTTATTTTGCTCAATTTCCTTCGTAATTAGTCTCTTGACTTCATATTCGGCTGGAACACCTTGAAACCTCTGTCTCTCTGTCTCTCTCTCTGTCTCTGTGTCTCAAGTGAACCGAAGATTTTTTTTCCGCGGATGGAAACTAAAGGGCTGATGTCGTTACTCCGGCAATCGGGAGACAAGAGGAAAACTAAAGGGAGCAGCGGCGGAGGGATCTTCAAGATGCTGAAGACAATCCCTATGCTGTCAACCGGCTGTAAGATGGTAGCCCTGCTGGGCCGGCCAAGCAGGGCGCTGCTGCTCGGAGCCAGCACAAGGGCGACGACGACAGTGACCCTCTTTGGCTACCGTCGTGGGAAGCTCAGCTTGGCCATCCAGGAAGGGCCCACGTGCCAACCCTCCTTCCTCATCGAACTGCCCCTCCTCACCACTGCCTTCCACAAGGAGATGGACTCTGGAGTGGTCAAAATAGCATTGGAAAGTGAGAGTAGAAGTCAACGTAGGAAGCTACTGGAGGAGCATGTCTGGGCGGTCTACTGCAATGGGCGAAAGTCAGGGTATTCCATAAGGAGAAAGCACAGCTCAGAAGAGGATTGGCATCTCCTAATGGAGTTGCTACGTGGGGTGTCAATGGGCGCCGGAGTGTTGCCGGCGTTGGAGGAGTCACCGGACGGCGAGATGACCTACATGCGGGCAAGATTTGAAAGGGTAGTGGGCTCCAAGGACTCGGAAGCCTTGTACATGGTGAACCCTGACGGCACTGGGGGTCCCGAGCTTAGCATCTTCCTGGTGAGGGTGAAATGATCATCTAATGTGTTTTCAGGGGGCTACAAATGTTGTTGGCTAGCTTTTGGGATGAAATGCTATTCTAAATAAGGCAAGACTTTGTCATACATCTCACAGGCGCTAAATGAAGATCGCACGCAGTAAGCTAATTTGTGGTCGTTATCGTGGTTTGGTTTATCCAAATGAGATTGAGATTGATTTTCAACAAGGTGGAAATTCTCGTATTCCGTATGTACATGTTCCTGCGGCTCGGATGAGTGTAGTAGTTTATATAGCAACGGCTATAAACAGTTCCTTGTTCCCATTAACAAAACATCCCCTTTATCTTCGTTTTTCCGGAACCGGTACAGAAATTGGCACTTTTTCTACGTTGTTTACCTTAGTTACTGGGGGGTTTGGGGGAAGACCTATGTGGGGTACCTTTCGGGTGTGGGATGCTCGTTTAACTTCTGTACTCATCTCGTTCCTTATTTACCTGGGTGAGAAAGAACAAGATAGAGTGGGCGAACGAAGATCACTGTTACAATATCACATTCATCTCCGGATGAGCTGCATGGGTTGATTAGTCCAATTAACCCATTAAACACTGTTTTACTAGTAAACTATGCTTGCCATTAGGAATTTAGCTATAATAAACAAGAATAGTCAACTCATCTGTAATTAATCTTGAACTAGATATGTGACTAATTTGATGTTAGACTTCATGTGACATCAAAATTCACACGAACTCACCCATTAGAATAATATTAATTTTTTTTATTATAAGTTAAATATCTAGTTAGTAGTAGGGTTGCATTCTTCATACATTAAACAAATTTAAATAAAATAGCCCAAATATTTGAGTAATAAAGGCCTTTCACAATTCACGTTGCACCACCGACAAAATTGAGGCACGTCAAACATGTATCAGGCCAGGTACAGTGTGTAGAACAATACGGATGGGTATAATGATACTAAAGCCAGGAAGACAATCATAGGGCTGAAAAGAACCAATGACATTCTTCTGGTTTGTAAATGGTCGGGATTTGACATGATGCTAACCCAAACTTCGTCAGAGAGTGTATATGGTGTCCTTTGTGATTTTCTTCCGATTGGAAGACATTCCAAGCACATTCACTATTTTTATATCATATTTCATATCCAAGGATTTGATTCCTTGAGAATCAAATTCAGCATTAACTGGGACCACTCTAGTTCGGTCTTCTTGCTAACCTGAAGAGGGTAGTTGCTATGTGATGAAATCGTTTTTCTATCCAAAGTAAGAGAAAAAAGACAGCTCTTGAGCCTTACGTTCAAGCTGTAACTGACGTGAACATCAGAGTTAATCGTTTGAATTCTTGCTATTTCTTCCAAGATACCTGATGTAGAAATTCTCTCTCTGAGAAGTAACATTTGGACCTCTTGTGAACGATGTTTTCACTGAAACAACTTCCATGCTATCGATCGAACCCCTGATCCGAGCATAATGTATATTTGTTGCAGTAAAACGTAGCATGAGAATCCTCATCTCCTAGAACAAGTGAGGTCTATAGCTAATGCTTCGAAGATCCTTCTGCCTGACTTGCCACTTCTGATCGAAAACTTTCGACACATTGCACAAGTGGTGCCTCACTATTCTTGTCTTCGTCGTCACCAGCAACACCCATTCTCTCCTTCACTAGTTCCTCACTGTTGAAAGTCCGACATAAACGTCTCTGGGGTTAATACTGAACAACAACAGCTTCAACCCAACTTGGCGCTCCTCTACATAACTTTTGATGGCGTGCAATGTTGGGAAGGACAGGAACTCCATGAAGTGGACTTTGGGCTCCCCGTGGATCGTATACAAAAGGGATGAGATAGGTTGATGGAGGAACCATGGATCTGAGAAGACAGTCACATCGAATGATAAGCAGGCGAGAAGCTTCAATAATTCTCAAATAGTGCTCAAATAAGTCAGCCAAAATTTTACCAATGCCTTCACACAGGTGAGCTACGGTTTCGTATTCTCGTGATTATTGAAATCTTGGTCATGTGTAGTTGAGTTTTAGAGGTCACCGGCAGCGGCATGCCCCGATGCGTCTTCACATGGGGTGTTTTTCCAGGCCCACCAACTTTTGCATAAAGGCTCCTCCTGCCTAAGAAAGTTGCTTTGTGAAGAGGGCAATCATTGAGTCCGCGTGCCATCTTCTTCCCTTAGGAGATGCTGGGCCAGAGAGAAGGGTTAGGTCGATAGGATTACCTCAGGCCCAACGTGTTTACAGCTACGTTGTTTTCACGACATTCTTTTGCACTAAAGATATTCCTCATATTCTCCTACTATAGGGTGAGCAACAATTTGATATTTTTCATGCTTTCCTTCTTTCATCAGTATTTTACTATACTGATGATAATTTTCTCTCCAAGGCTCGAATTCCATCACATGAAATTGGAATACATTTAGTTTTCGCACTAAGTAGGTTTTGTTTATCCGGATGTTTCATACTTGCTGTAATTGGCCTTCAGCACTTGTTTCTGAAAACTTTTGCCTACTACTTAGTAAAGTAAACTGAATGCAGCGTCCATATTGCTGATAATGAATTGTTCAATCCTCCAATTTCTTCAGGATGCATCGTAATGCCTTCACCTGAGGAGTCTTGTATGCTAGACTGTGATTACGGTGGGTATGGTTCCCAAACCAACTGGACCATGTTCCTACGTGAGAGCATGAAAACATTTGAGTTGAACTTTATGAAAATCTTGCTTCCTTCTGGTAGTCTTCGTATCTTTCAAATCTAGGAAAGAAGAAGGGGATTTTATGCATCCATTTTGGGTACTTTAAATCATTTGACGTTTTTGCCTATGTAAGTCCTCGTTTCCCTTGATTCTACGACTTCCTAGAATTTTTTCCTTCTAAACTGCCTAGAATCTTTAGAACCACTAGCATAATTCTCTCTCCAAGTTCCTCATAACCAGACTTCCTAACCCTTTCCCACTTGAATAAGAGTTTGCAAATCTCTACTTGAAGTTTCCATGAATTGACATAAATAGCTAATCTCACCTCCATTCCTAACCATCTCGAAGAACACATTCATTTCTTCTCTTGAAACTCATACACATTTTGTTGCAATCTTCTATGCTGTATTTCCTATCTTCTATGCTTGTCTTCAAACCTTAGAAATTGGAGTCGCATAGTTTCTTTGATTCGTCATTCCTAGTGTGTACATATTTGTCTTCAATATCATCTTGTCTAAATGGAAAACATACGTGTCTCTGAGAATGCTACATTGTTTGAGGCGACAAAAATCAATAGTGCATATTTCTCAATGCTCAATGGTACTATAAAGAAAGATGTCTATTGAAATGGTGGATGTAGGCTGGGTACACAGTTGTACAATATAATTTGTCTTATTACTATGATTTATTTTTCTAAAGGTATTTAATGATAACACATTATTTCTATGTGATAAGTAACATATATTATCATATAGTTTTGTATTAATCTATGCTAAATGACATAGATTTAAGGTAAATCAAGTAAAGCATGCTTTAGATTAATTAGGCAAAATACATGTTAATGCATGATTTCTGCATACTTTCATTGCATATTTACACTTCGAATATTACTTGGTCGCATGTTAATATGTTTTACTTGACATTTTTATCCTTAAATATACTTTAATTAGGGTTAAACTGTAAGCTTAATAGTCGAGGTTCATTATGTTAGACATCAATGATCGTATCTGATATTTTAGAATATTTTTTAAATGTGTGTTGATTTCTAGGGGCATCCTGGGTTGATTAGCAACCCAATAAGGAAGCCTATTAAGAGGCCTAGTGGGTCCATTGATTAATTATATTAGAATGACCGAAGAAGAGAGAAAAACAATTCTCACAAAGATATGGGCGGAGAAACAAAATTCAGATTCTCACTTATAATCAATCAATTTCTAAAAAACTTGATTCCTAGCCATGCAAAATCAGTTCTAGATTCAAATGGAGCGTAAAAAGTTCAGTGTTAGGGAAAAATGGGCTCCCTTCTTCCTCCTTCCATCAGGTTACAGCCAGTAGTGTTCTTCAAGTTTGACGTTGAGTTTTATTTTTCGTGATTAAAATCTAGTTTCTTTATTTCAGATTCCTTTCTTCATTTTGTTTAGGTGATCGGTAGATGAACCAAAGAAGCAACTGATTTGTAAAAGTCGGATTCACAATTTCACTTGAATTCGTTTGTCTGCCTCATCCCAAATGACAGATGGGAATTTTCAATTCTTAGTCTAATTCAGCTTCACTTTTCTAAAGTTTCTACTGCTGAAATGACTCTAAACTCATTCACGACTTTGATTCCTTGTGTCCTCACATCTAATTTCATCTACTTTCTCTGAACACAGCTTGTTTCATTGCAGTCAGAGTCATTTTTCTCTCTTCGTAATTTCTTCATTCTCTTTTTCCCTAATCTTGATATGTAGATAAGCCTCTTATTTGCCTATAATTAATTCTTGTAAGTCCAAGCTGAAAATTAAGGCATATTAGGAACTGGATGCCGCTAAGGAAAGAGCATGAGCTGAGTTGCAGCAGATTGGGCATCAGAATAGTACCAAGGACAGCAGAAAATCTCCTCTATCCCTCTCTCCATCGTTTTCTTTCTTTTTTTTTTCTATTTAAATTTTCTTAGAGAATACAAAAATTGTCACTAAATTAGTCATCTCCCTTGTGAATGGACTTGAAGTCACCATACTTACTTGACTCAATTTGATACAAATTTAATTTTATAAATATTGAGACTAACATTCTGTAATACAACCACTAAGAGACAATTATTTAACTTGTAGAGAAAAACCCAATAGGCTCAAAAAGAACAATTGCATTTCCTCTTGGGTTCATATTTGGATTTTTGGAACCAATAATTTAAATTTACTCCATGTCTAATTTTTGTGACTTTTCTTGGTAAGTAGTTCTCACCAACCTGTAGACCATAACTTATTTAGTCCATGTATGATATTTATAAAAAAGGAATTTAGTTCACGTAAACAATAGAGAGTGTTAGGAAATTATATCTGAGGTCAATGAGATCCTAAGTACATGCTATGAACTCTAAAGAACTTACTATGGCATCCACATGAGAAATTCAATGAATACTGATCAAGTTTGATTATTTAAGTATTAAAGAAATGAAGAAAAATTCAAAGAAAGGAACTATGATTATGAATTCAAGTTGTTAAGACTCACCAAGATATTGGTCAAATTACATTGAGGAGAAACTTTTCATTAAATATATATGGAAACTGAGACATTAAGGTAATAAGTAGGCTCTTCAAATTCAGAAGATAAAGGTGAAGTGTCTTCAATAAAAGCTACATAGTAAAAAATTAATTTTTAAAATAAGATATCCAAGCATGCACAATGCTGGAAATCATACAATTATTTTACCCCAGTATTTAGCCCTCATGCATGTAGCTATTAACATATTACAAGTTCATTTTCTCGAGGTAATGACTTAACATTTTGATCATATCATCTTGTAATTCTAAATAATAAATTCATGCTATGAAAAAATCCCATGCTACATTGTTGCTTGACCATTCTCAATTGAAAAAAATACTCGTG